TAGCAAGAGAGAGTGGATGTTAAGAACAGTACATATAAGTAATCAAAAGAGATTATGGTAGAGACATTTCATCCATGACTTAATGAGTTAACCAACCAATGCTTATAAAGGCAAAGTCCCAATGTCTTTTCTCACTAATCACTACTCAAAATCCTCAATGGTAGGCCCAAATGCAACTCCTTTGCTCCTCCTTAAAGCTAAGAATAATAATCATTGCTCCTTTCCGATTCTTCTCCCAAAGATCCTTATTTAAAATATATGTATGATTTTTATGTAAATATATTACTTTCAAAGTTTAAGCTTGCGATCCATCCAAGCAAAAGTCACTTCTTAATCTTCACATCAAATGTGGTAGATGTTTTGCATCATCCTCTCACTTTCCACATTGGATCGCTGCATTTCGGTGATCTCTTTCCATTATTATATTTCAAACTACGTATAAAAACCTTTGGCATGCCATATAAAACTATATAAGGAAATACCTAATCGTTTAATTTGTGTTCCACGTTCTAACTAATCGTTTGGATTCATCGCAGCCAAGACAAGGACCTTGTCTCCCAAATACGCTTTTGCAAAAATATTTTAGCATCTCCCTTAATCTGTTAAGATTGATTATAATTAATGATCAACAGTTTAATTATTTTTATCAACCATGCATAATCTGTTTTGGCCATCAAGAAGCACATATTTTGGAAATTCACACTTGGTATGTGACAATATTGATACTACAACCTAGTATGTGTTGAGATAAAATTTCACACCGGTGAGTAGCATATAAGATTTTGAGTCTTTCCGCTTATTACCAATTAGTTTTTGGTTTGATGCTCGATCTAATTCATGTGATCATCCATCAATATATAGTTCTCTAAATAGTTAACGTAACCGATGGTCAAGTAAAATTGATGCAATGCCAAAGAAAATTTCTTGTGTAAACCCCTAAAGTCAAAAAATTACCTATGGACGAGTCCTAATCAAGGAGTTGTTGTAGGTATATCAACTAGATGTGTCAAACATGTTAATTGATTAACCATGTACGCATAGACGTTATTCATACACTATCTATATGTGATCTTAATTTGTTCATTTCTTGTTATTAAAGCAAAAAATTAAACAAGTCAATAGCAAATTAATACAGAGTATTGTATTGGATCACTGTGTATTTTATTGTCGGATGATCTTAAGTCATGCATATAGCAACAAACAAGCTATAGATGTCCTTTTCAATGTCCAATGATTCTTTTGGAAGCCATGGGGAACTAAACTAACCCAGAGTACAATTTGATTTAAATAACTCATGAGTTACGTGATGCCACCGTCACGCCGTGTATCTTACGTACCAAAATAATTGTACAACAATCATGTTGATCGAGATGACATCATTCGTCTTGAATAGCTTAGGATCATTTTGGAAATGTTTTTAAAAAGAAAAACTAATTAAAAATGTTTAAAAAAATTTGAGTTTTAACGATAAAAATAAAATAAAAGATAAAGTGAATAGTACTATGATTGACTTTTTAGTGTAAAAATATAGTTTTTCGTTAAAATGAATAGTAACTGGAGCTTTTCGTTAAAAATCCTTCTTTAAAATGATAGAAAACACTTTGGTTAAAATATTTTTGGAATCAATTCTTACTAAAAATAAATATTTCTAGAATCCAAAAATATTTTCCTTAAATCACTTTTAAACGACCCCTTAAATGAAGAAATTATAATTAATCTCTAAGCAAGCATTAAGGAATAGGGAAATCAGGATTCACTAAACTCTCGTTTTAATGAGGTCTCCGTTGTCCCCCAACTAAACCAGAGAATAGCTGATAATTCGTAGTATTTTACATTAAATTACAACTTGGCAATGATTATCTGTACTCTTTTGTTATAACCTTTTTATTACGGGGATTCGAACTCTAACACATAGATTAGTCCCATTACATTCTTATTGTTAATTAATTTATTTTAAGGAAAAACAGTCACAATAAATAACTTCAATGACATAATATGAATATTCAACTCAAAATCAATTAGTATATATATGGAAAGGCTTCAGTATGATACTCTCAAATTCCCATTTACGTGCATGACCGGTCTACAAATTTTTTGATCAGAGCTGACAACAAAACTAAGGCCCAAAATAATAATTCTCACACAAAAAGTTAAGGATTCTTTTGTCCAGTAGAAAAATTTACCAGAAAAACATTTTGAGTCATTTGAGAGATATCAAGTCAAACAATTTTATAATTGATAATAATTTCAGTCGATATTGTGTGTAACGGTTTCATATTTTTTAAAGAAATGATAAAAATTTTGCCTCTTTAAAAGTAAATTAACTACACTCTTTAGATTTTTTAAAATCATGTAAAACAAAAATAGATAATATAAATAGATTGATATATTTACACACACAAAATTGACATTTTTATTGACAACACACCAGGTTAAATTCATGACATGCTTTTGGCTTAACTATTTTAAGATGACTTCCCCTCATACATTTTTTTTTTTCTTTCTATTTTTTGTTCCAAGTCCTTCATGGCAAGGGCTGACGCCTCACACAGACAATTCATATTAGAAGAGGCACATAGTACACAAATGTTAGCCTAAACACGTGAAAAGGATTTACAGTAAGCGGTTCTTATGAATAGTACATTGCAGGGTATTGAAAAATTGTATTGCCAATTTGCCATCGTGTTACAACACAATCTGAAAACCTATGTTACAAGTACTGCAAATATATACTATTCATTTTTTTTTGTTTTTGTCTTACAATCTATTCATCAAGTATTATGGAAATATGCTTAAAACCTAAGTAATATGTATTACAGTTTTCTTTGCCGAAGTATTATAAGTTAGGTGTATATTATTGAGCAAGTACTATCAAATTGCTAGTAAAGGTTGATTCATTTATTTAAAAAAGTTTAATCTAGTCAAGGTTGATTCAATTTAGTTTTTTCAATGTGTGGTGCACAAAATAATCAGTAGATTGGTTTGCAAAACATGATACAGCTGCATGCATTTTCTGTTTTGTGTGAGAGATATTTAGGGGTGTAGCATATTAAAATTTATACCCATTTTTATTGAGTTTTTAAAGTGAGATTTTCACCAGTTTAGTTGACTTTTACTGACTATATGTTATAAACTCCATCAATTTCACAGACTTTTAGTCATATATTTGTGTGGAAGACTTTTAGTCATATATTTGTGTGGAAATGAAAGAAGAGTAATATGATCCATAAAATATGGTTTAAATTGATGGTTTCTCTAGCATTACCCTTGTTGAAATGGTAATCATTATCATGAAAAAGTGGTTTTATGAGGTGGTGATTGCAATGATGGTGGTGAAAGTGTCACGTGGTGATTATTGGCAAGATGGTGGTAGTAAAGTTGGCGTCTTTGGTGATTATGGTGGCAGGCTGGTGTTGAGGTGATGGAGAAGTAGGGATGGGGGCGGTGGTGACGGGGTGGTGATGATGGTGGTTGGGGTGGCAGCCATTGTAGGAGCGACGATGATGATCATGTAATAACAATGGTGGCGGCGATGACAATAAGGTTCTAAAAGGCACTACTAGGTGCCCGGTAGGATTCGAGCACCTAATCGTCTAAGCGGGGCCTAAGTGGTTTTTTAGTATATTTACCCGAAGCAAACTTCTTACATTTGGGATCATATTTTGCCTTCACATGTAAAGAATGCTTTTCTTTTTTATTGTATGGGAACTGTATCGTAGTTTTTCGCTTTAATAGAATTTTATTTTTCGAGTAAAAAATTGGACTAATAATTTTTTATGTTATATTAGAGGGAATCAAATGATGAATATATAGGGACGGATCCGTGGTAGCACAACCTGTTCTACAAAAAATTTTACACACTTTTTTGTGGGGTCCACTTCGTAATGTAGTTTAACGATCTGAACCATCTATCTTTTATGTCTTCCCTCAAAAATCATGTCTACCAAAAATCACCCAAATCTAAAATCATATGACCGTTGGTTAAGGGTTTAGGATTTAGGGTTTCTTTGTAGAACTGTATTCATCTATTTTCTTCACTACAAATAAATGTCTTAATGGTTTTAGATTTGCATAATTATTTGCAAGCATGATCTATGAATGATGTTCTAAAAGACAGATAGTTTGGATCGTTAAAATGCATTACGAAGTGGACCCCATAAAAATGTGTTAAAATGTGTAAAAACAAAAGTGGTGTCACAAATCCACCACACACACACACACACATATATCCTATTTATAATTCATTAACTTATAATTTTGCACTACTTTAACTAACCCATGGACTTTGAATTTCAATGAATGCCGATTCATGTGTACCTATATGTAATTTCAAAATTTCATGAATTATAATTTCCTAGTTTTTTTTCTTTCTAAGAATCGCAATATACTAAACCATTATGTTGATTTAGTTATGAAAATGAAATATAAAAAAGATTTATAACAATTATTTTACAGGTTAGGAAAACACCAAATACCTTGTCGGATAGCATGTAATATTTCTTTGATCAATAGGTTACAGAAGCATATATCACATGTTACACCAGGGCGGCGCGTAATTTATTCATAAAATTACCCTTTTTGTCAAATTTTCAACACATAAATACATTCCTTCTTGAACAAAAAGTCAGACAATTACAGTGCCTTCTTTCTCCCAATCATTTCCGAGCATAAATCCTCACATATAGGTTTTGTTGCTATACAGGACGTGGTACAAAGTGATTGGTTGAAATGACCAATTGCTTGACAGTAGCAGAACAAGGAGCGAGGTGTGTGGAATCACCAGCATGACTTAGAGTACGTGAAGTTTGTTACACAATACACAAATATGTACGCAGAAAATAGTAACCAACAATGGAATGTAATATAATTAATTATGAGAGAGAAAGAGGTAGCTGATGGAATGTCATTGTAAATCTGGTTCGCTTTATGGACCCCATCACGTCGGCTCATAACCTCATAGCCTCCTACTGTAATTGTATTACTTTTAAAGGGAGGTAGAGAGAGACCTAGCAAAACACCAATTTGGTGTTGGTGATCACCATCATCACTATATCGAGTTTCATCAGTTCTGATATTCAAACGTTATCAGAATTGAGCAGAGTTTGGAGGGTTTAAGTTAATTAAAAACAGATTAGGAATTACAAATTAAGAAGATCGATAATGGGGCACCATTCTTGCTGCAACCAACAGAAGGTTAAGAGAGGGCTTTGGTCCCCTGAGGAAGATGAGAAACTGATCAGATACATCACAACTCATGGCTATGGCTGTTGGAGTGAAGTCCCAGAAAAAGCTGGTCATGGTCCTCTCTGTCTCTCTGTCTATATCTATCTATCTGTCTATCTCTTCCCTTCTGTGTGTTCGTTACTATTAATTATATCGTAATTTAATTAAATTCCTGATGATAAAAGGGGCTTAATTGTTGTGTAATTTTCAGGGCTTCAAAGGTGTGGTAAGAGCTGCCGCTTGAGATGGATTAATTATTTAAGGCCTGACATTAGAAGAGGGAGATTTACTCCAGAAGAAGAGAAATTGATTATTAGCCTCCATGGGGTTGTAGGCAACAGGTTTAATTTAACAAGCTGTATTATTAGCTAATTAATTTCATTAATCTATTTATTTCCTAATATGTAGTGATTGTGCATGCATCAAATCCAAATTAACCACCCATTGATATAGTCTTTCGGCCCTCCAAATTTAAAGCCATTGCCACGTTCGAAAATGCTCAATGGGTTTTGGGAAGCTTATATTTTTCTTTTACACAATGTGATGTTAATTTATGCTCTTTTTTTCTTGAAGAAACGGCGCTTTTGAAAATTTAAATTTGTTGCACCATTTTCAAATTATTTCAAGATTTTGGCGAGTCTGTTTTATCTTAGAACCTGTAAATTTGAAGCTATTTTGTTGTGGTTGTACGTATGTAATTGGAAGAAGTGGTTTTGAAGCTTGAGTTCGTATGGTTTTAATTATATATAAAATCACCTACTGGTCACGTTTATTCTTTCCAATAATAATATAGACAAAACAAAACCCTCCTTCCAATAATATATAAATTAATCGGTTCCAGGCCTTTGAAAAGAAACTTAAGTGAAATGGACCTCTAACTGAATACAAACAAACTTTAAAAACAAGTTTTCGGAATCAAATATATGTGTGTGCGTGGGTGCGTCAGGTTTATGTTTTAAATTTACGTGTAGCTAGTCCATAAGCTATCTTCATCACCTGTACTGTACAGTAAGAACCACATTCCACCTTATTTTTTTGCGAAAGACGTTAAGTAGTCAACTTCGGAAGTTGGCGTTGAACATCTCAGCTCATGAAATCAACGCAGATACACACAATTATACTACTAATGTAAATTACAAATTAATTAATTAGTTGCTTATGGAAGTTAATTTATTTGCTCTTTATTATACTATACATGCATGACTATAACTGTAATTTACATATATGTAGATGGGCTCATATAGCAAGCCATCTGCCGGGAAGAACAGACAATGAGATTAAGAACTACTGGAATTCATGGATCAAAAAGAAGATACGAAAGCCTTCCACACCTTCAAGTGCTACCACAATAAGTCCACCACCTAGTGTTGATCATCATCAGCATATAATTCCCCAACTGGGTAATTACAATAATCAACTAGATTTTGCACACCAAGATTTGAGTACGACCATAAAGCCTCAAGCTCAAGAAACCCTCTTTTCTTCAACATGCCCTATGTTCATGTTTGATACAAGTACTACTGCCAATATTGAAGCCGCTCCAGACAGTTACAATGCTCGTGGGGAGATTTTCCAAGACATGATTGTCACGACTGGTTTGAACTCATCTGAGCCGTGGAATTTGAATCAGCATCAAGTCCAGGCTTTCCCACCTCCGGTGACAATGTCATTTAATACTACAAGTAGCAGTACTAATAATATTACCATGAATACAAACTATTTGCCACCGTTGATCGAGAACATGGACAACATGGTACCGAACGTTGATCATCACCACCATCACCATCATCATCAATCTTGTAACAATATTGATGAGGAGGGAAATCATGATCAGATAGCCTTGGAGTGCTTAATGCAAAGGCAGGAGTTGAATGAATGGGTTGTTTCCCAACAACAATGTTCTAGCTTTCTATTTTGGGACAGTGTTGTTGATGATCAAGCGACAGTTCTTGTTGGACAAGATCACGGTATTGCACATCCAACTTCATCAAACGCAGTACAACTCTCTTCTTTTCCTCCATCTCTATAAGATATTAATGGTGGTCTGAACAACGTGCACTGCTGTCCCTCCTAACTTTACCATGCACCTGTGCACCTCTCTCTCTCCCTCTCTCTCTTTCTCTCTTTTCTGAAGTTCTTTTGAAAATGGTCCAGGCTTTTGAGTTCAGAGTTTGTTTTCTTTAATTTTGGGGTGAGATTGATCGATTGTGAAATTAAAGTGAGCTGTACATAAGAAAATGCATGAATGTTTATTTAATTTGGATTTGGGAACAGAAGAGGAATGAATAATACATGCAACGCGACCTTTGATCATTTGTCTTGGTGTTGAACTATATATAGTACGAAATGGTTTTTCCTTCCACATGCATGGCTTCTTAAATTCCAAGCTATGATAATCTTGAAAGATCAAGAAAAGTTCACGAAAAGTGAAAGCTAACAATATTATGAAAATAGAGTAATTAAAGAGGAAAAACTAGCAATTAAATATCTTATATTATAGAGGAATTAGCCATTTTTCTTCCGAATATGTAAGTTATTATCAATTTCTCCCTTAAATTTTAATTTTAATCAATTAACTTCCTAAACTTGTATTATTAGTCAAATCACCCCCTTGCGGTTAAATTTTTCAATTTTCCATCCACTATTCGGTCCATCTCAGTATTTATGAGGGAATAAAAGTCATTTTGCACCTCAACAATACCCAATCCCTGTTCATAAGCAGGAGCAAAAGTCAGAGTGCAATTTTCTTCTTTTTTCTTCCACCAGTTGGGTCCTATGATTTCTGTTTAAATTACCCATGGAGCATAATCGATCTGAACAATGCGATGGAAGTGTGAAAGCGGCGTCGTCTTCAGCTTCTTTTGTATCCAACGCTCTGGTTCGTCGGCGTCGGTGTGCTTGGGTCTGTGGCACACCAATGCGGGCTCGCTGATTTTTGCTGTTTTGGATTGAAGGCAATCAAAACGGGTGGTGACGATTAGCTACTGAGCTAGTCGTTGTGCTGCACGCTCTGCAAAGGGTAAAGAGTGAGTAAATTGTTTTGGGAAGATGGTGGAGAATCAAACGTTTTGCAAAGCAACTTGAGTCGGTCCTTCTCTTCTTCATTTCGTTGGCATACATTAGAAATTGTCGCTTTAGTGAGACAATAAATTCAACACCAGATCATCTGCACCTCCTTAGTTTCAAGCGACAAAGTCCCAGGGGCGGTCCAGAAGGTAGCCGAAGTAGGCGCCTTTCTAGGCCCCCAAATTTTTTTTAAAATATTATATATATACACACAGAGGAAAGCCATTTTTTTGAGAAAAATAAGGAGTAGTTGTATGGTTCACATCACATCGAACTTTAACAATCTGAACTGTCTATTTTTCAAGTTGCACCTCATAGATTATCTTTGCAAAATATTAGCCAAATCAGAAATGTTTAAGACATCTAATTGAGTTCAAATAAATTAACAAATATTTTGTCATATAAGAAAAACTGAAATTTTATCTTGATAATTAAATAGGCAAATGAGTTCGGATTGAATTTAATTTTTGTCAAGATGATCTATAAATCGAGACTTACAAAATAGACGTTCGGATCGTTAAAGTTCGATATGGAGTGGACCCCACATCTAAACCCAATTTTTTGAAAAAAAATGAGGATCCCTATGCATAAAGGGCATGTATATATATGTGTACACACACACATATATATATATATATATACACGATTTAAATTCAATAAAAAAAAGCAAAAATATAATATTAGGCAATAATATAATTTTTCACAAAATGAATTTTACTGTTTTTACTTTCATCACCCACATGTAAGTTGTAACTATATTTTATTCTTCAAATCTAATTAAAATTTAAAAATCAAAATGTCATTCTTTTTTCTTGGTACAACCCAATCGCTTTCTCGCTTTATTTTCGCAAAATTATCGCTCTTCTCTCTCGGTCTTCACATGATAAGTATTCTGATATTGATGGGAAAGACTTAGTTCTAGAGCTAAGAGTGTTGAGAGAAACTTTACCGAATGAAATAAATCAGACAATAGAAGTGTTGAAAGGTTGTTTCTCGAATGCATGAGTTACTTATAGAATTTTGTTAACTATACCAGTTACAATTGTGTAACATCCCGTCCCGAAACTAACGAGACGTACATTTAAAATGACAATTTTACCCTAATTTGTTTGTGTACGTTAAGTGTTGTGTAGTGTGGTGTTGTAGGACCACACACACACTCACACCTCACCCTCACTTTCCCGGGATTCCCTCCCTCATTCCCTCACTCTTTGTCTCTCTGTCTCTGTCTCAGTCTCTCTCTCTCTCTCTCTCTCCCCGAATCCATCTTCTTCTTCTTCCTTCTGCAAACTTACGGACCACACACAAACACACTCAAAACATCAACCATCGAGGAAACAAATTGCACCATTGAACTCGTGAGGTTGTGAGGAGCACAACCAAACCAATTCCAGGTAAGAAAACTACCATTTTCACGTCGTTTCGAAGTGGTCCGAATTATGCACTGTTCATGCAAACCTAAACTAGTGTGTTTTTGGAATTTCTAAGCTTGTAGATGTGTTTGTGAGGTCCCAAGGAGCTTGGGAGTGGTTCGTTGGGTGAATTTGGACGTCGGGATTGTCCTGTGCAAAGTTGGCCGAACTTGGATCGTTGTTGTAGGTGAGATTTCATGGTTTTTAGGCCTTAAAACTAGTCTAACGTTGTTCTACTAGTCCTAGGCTTCATTTTGGTATAAAGAACGTGAAATTTGGTTGAAAAACGAAGGAGAAAACAAGGTTTGAAAAATTCCCAGTTTTCCGGCGACGGCGGCGGCGCCGGCGACGGCGACTGGCCGGAGAAGGAAGGGGAATATTCCGTTAAGTTTAACGGAATATTCCTAACGGCAGTGGACGGCGTCAGTTAACGGCGTCAGTTAAGGTTAACGGAATATTCCGTCAGGTTAACGGAATATTCCTGACGGCGTCTGTTGACACCGTCAGTGTGCAGTGCACGTGACTGCGCGTGGGGGCGCGTGGGTCAGTGACTGTTCAGGCGCGTGGGGGCGCGTGCGTGGTCCAAAAATTATTTTAAAAATATGGGTGTGATCCTGAGGTTGTGTAGATCACATTGGTATATTCAATTGTCCAATTTGAGCAATGTATGAGAAGTTATTACGAGAAGTTGCTTAGGTGCTTTTAAATTAATGTTTTCGTAACTTTGTCGCGTATAGGTGATTCGTTTTCCGAGGACGAGCGTACGCACTCGAGGCAGGGGGGCTACGACCCTTCTAATTATCAGTGAGTGGGCTTTTGTTTTCCGTATATACCTATATACAGTTATATTCCCAGAAATTAAATAGAAAATGTTATTTGTTTTATGCCATGCATTATATAAATGTTATTTACGCATCATTACATGTATTATTGGTGATATACATACATATATACATGTGTATTTGGTGCGGTGGATGCACAGGTAAGTGCTAGGTAAGCGGTATTCAGGTGGTTATGCATTCCTGTTTATTATGCAATAGTAGTTTGAAATGCTTAGAGAGCTCATAATCTGCACCCCCGGTGTTAGTGCTCCCGTCCAGGGCCAGGGCACAGCCTTCACGTGTATGTTCACCAGCACCGCATGCTCGTCTTGGATCCAAGTTAGGTGCAAGCCTGTCGTAGAGATCACATTAGGTGGTTCCGACTTGTAGGTGACCCGCGATTTATCGCCAGCTTCACGTGATCGTAGCACTAGAGCATACATATATATTACACCCAGCTTGTCGTGCAGACCACGTTAGGTGGTTCCGACTCGTGTGCAGATTCAGTGATTGAGTTGAGCGTGGAGCTCTATATGCAGCGGTACATGTCACGTTAGGTGACTCCCGGCTGCCAGTTTATATGTGATTGATGTGAATTACGCTTGAGCATTTATATTTGATTATGAGATTCTGTTGTGACATATTCTCGAGCATAAATGGCATATGTGGAGCATGATTGACATACCTATACATACGTATATATGTTCATTTTCTGGGAAGTATACAGGTTTTACGGCGAGGGGTTAGAATGTGTTTTGCTAAAGAGTTTTCAAAGAACTTTGTTTTTGCCCACTCACGCTTTTGTTTTTCGCCCCTCCAGGTTCTAGTGGTCTAGCAAGTTCGGTGGTTTATCCCAGAGGGCGTCCCGGCATTTCTGACAGACACTCACCATTGTAGGGTCACCTTCGGGTGTACATATGTCGTATCTTTTCCTTTTGGACTGTTGTAGAATTGCTCTGATTTGTGTCTCACATACACTAGTACTTTGTATGCTATTAGGTTTTTATTTATTCGTACTTTTATATTACTATTTTAATAGCTTCCGCACGCGCACATGGTTACGTCACCTTCGTGTGACGGCCAGCATGCCCTGATCTCGGTCGGGGTGTGTCAGCTTGGTATCAGAGCCTAGGTTTGGCAGTCCTGTGTCTTTGTGAGTATTCTAATAGTTGGTGTCTTCTGTCAGAATCATGCCGCCTCGTCGGGAACCACGTCGCTCAGATGAGCCTAGTTTCCCTGATCTTACTCAGTTGGGGGAAGTGATTGCTACAGCCCTTCAAACAGTGATGCGCCCTCCCCAGAGGACTCCTCTGGAGACTATGTATAACCTGAAGTTGGATAAGTTTAAAGGTAACGAGGGTCATGAAGGCGCAGAACGTTGGTTGGAACACATAGAGAAGACTTTTCGTGTGTTACATAACCAGGGGAACCTTCCTATGGAAAGGTGGGTTGAGACAACCTCTTGGTTTCTGGAGATGGAGTCTGCAGCTTGGTGGGAGCAAGAACTTCGTATGTTGACTCCAGCTCAGAGGACCGATTGGAATGTTTTCAAGGATGTGTTTCAGAGGAGATTTGTACCCCCTGAGTATATCGATCGTAAGAAACAGGAATTTACTGAGTTAAAACAGCGAAAGATGACAGCTAACGAGTATTATCGTAAGTTCACTGATTTGTCTCGTTACTATCCTGATGTCGCTGGTAATCCGGCGGAGATGCTTCGTCGTTTTCGCTTGGGCACTAAGAAGAGATGGCGTTCCATGGTAACTACTACTCACTGTGAGTCCTACCAGGAGTTCTATGAGATATTGTTGAGGGTAGAGGACTCTGAGAATATGTCAAGTGATAGTGACGAAGAGAAAAACGGCAATCAGATGAAAGACGACAAAGGAAAAGGTCAAACATCGCTTGGGCCTCGCCAAACTCAGAACTTTAAAAGGGGTGGTGCAAGTTCAAGTTCGTCTAGTGGTGGTTTCAGTGCCTCTGGACAAGGACGCGGAGGTAGGTTTTATGGAGG